TCAGTCGGTGTGGGGTCGGTGGTGGTTTCGGTGTCTGTCAGGCTGTGTGGGGTCGGTGGTGGTTTCGGTGTCTGTCACGCTGTGTGGGGTCGGTGGAGGTTTCGGTGTTTGTCAGGCTGTGCGGGGTCGGTGGAGGTTTCAGTGCCTGTTACACTGTGTGGGGTCGGTGGTGGTTTCAGTGTTTGTCAGGCTGTGTGGGGTCGGTGGTGGTTTCAGTGCCTGTCAGGCTGTGTGGGGTCGGTGGAGGTTTCGGTGCCTGTCAGGCTGTGTGGGGTCAGTGGTGGTTTCAGTGTCTGTCAGGCTGTGTGGGGTCGGTTGCGGCGTTGGTAGAGGTTTCATCACCCTCTGCCAGGAGCAGTGAGCAGATGCTGCCCGGAAGGAGATTTGCTGCCAGGCACTCCAGAGAGCTGGGGCCAGTCACTTCCTCAGCAGAGATGTGTGCCCATGTGCTTCAGGTGTCTAAAGGACATTTGGGTGTGACAGAGGCTTCTTTTGGGGGGGTAGATCATCCCAGAGCCTTTCAGGACACGCGTTTCTGAGGAGTCTGTGCTTGGCATATATTAGCCTTTCTGGCTGGGGCTCTGGGAGGCCACAGGGCCCAAACTCAGCACAACCCGGTGCTGATGGGACCCCCTTGACTCAGTAGGAGTTGCAAGGGGTGTGCATGAGGCTGGAATCTGCCCCAGGTGTGGAAGTGCAGGCAGGGCTGGCTGAAGGTGGCCGAGATGCTGGAAGGGACTCGGGTGGAAATTGGCACCTCTGCCTGGCTCAGCAGAGCTCTGCCAGTTCCCCAGCACATTCCTGGTGTTCCAGGCCCCCATCACATCCTCCTGGCATGACTAACTTCACACCTGTTGCAGTCCCAGGTGCACTGGCCTCATGTTGTGCCAGTGCCTCATTCCTCACTGTCTTGAGCAGGGCATCAGGTGCCTGGTGAGGTGGCAGTGTGGCAGTGCCACCTCCCCAGGGGGGGCTCAGCCTTTCTGAGGAGCCCATCTAGGGACATTCTGCATGGTGCAACATTGGGAAGTTTGGGTTCTTCATGGCACTTTTCCATCTCTTTATGGTCCTAGCACAATTTTTCTCCACACTGGTCAATCCTGACTGTAGGACCACGAGGCTCAGCCTGTTCCCATGGCTCTGTTGCTTTGAGGAGTGGGTTTCTGATGTTTTCAGGTGAAGTTAGCAGATGTCTCCCTCTCGCTCCACTTCCAGTGCCCAGAAGCTCCTGTATCAGAAGAGTTGGTGTGGGTTGTCGAGGGCTTCTGCAAAGAGATTCTTTGCCCACCTTGATTTTAGCCAGGAGCAGGTGGTGGGTGGGGAGACTGAGGCTGTTTGGTGTTTCTTTTTACACTGCCTCTCTTGAAATTAATGATGAAAAGCCACCGAACTTCTGAGGAGCACCCTGCTGTTGTTACAAAGGCCAAAGCAGGTCTGCTCGGCAGGAGGGAGGGAGGACGGGCATGAGGGTCTGCCATGCAGCGGAGGAGGCCCACGGACGACCTCCACTGCAGCCTGGTGGGACAGGACGGCCGAGGCGCTCGCTACGGCACTCTGGGCGAGGAGGCCATCGAAATACCCCAGGTGGGTGTCTGCAGCCCTTCCCCTGCACCAGCCAAGCTGCCTGGGCAGCCACTGCGCTCACTGCCCCACACCTCTCATCCCAGCCCAGGCACACGGCCCCAGACCAGAGGAGCATGGCCAACGTCTTCAGCGATGGCTGCACACGCATAGGTGAGGCCGAAAGGCTCAGCTTGGAGTTTGGCTCCTTTCCACCCTGCTGAGAAGGCCTGGGCTGGGGTCAGCTGGGTTGAGGAGGATGGAGAAAGCCCCAGGGCTCCGCAGCTGGTCCATGCAGCATGCCTAGAGGGCCTGGGACCCCTGACCGCTGCCAGGCACTGTCTCTTTTGCAAGACAGGATTGGTCCTCACCCCTATTAATAGGGTCTCCCAGCTTCCTGCCTCCCATGCAGGAACACTCAAGCAAGGTGGCTGGAGTCCCTTCCAGAGCAAGCACATCCTTCCCTCATTGCCTTGTTTCACTCACAAGACAATATCCAGCCCAGTGAGAGCAACAAGTCCTGCAGGAGAAGGACACACAGGACAGAGGTGGGTTTGGGATCTGTCATGAGATCTCTTTCCTTGCCTCAGACTTTGTGCTGGTATGGGAAACCATCCCCCGGGAGCTGAGCAGGGAGCAGGACACCTGTGAGAACAGGGACTTGCAGGAGAGATCTGCAGCCATCCACAGGACCCAGCGGAAGAAATTTCTAGACAAGCTTCATGCTGCTGGGATACGCATGGAAAAGGTACCCGTGGATCTGACCCCAAATATCTATCCCCATGTGGTAACCAGAGCCTTGACCTGTGGCTGGTGGGGTCAGGGGAGGATGTGTCCTGCCACGGGGCCTCGCGCAGCAGGAGAGCCAGGGCGTGCCAGGGATGTGATGTGCTCATTGCCATGGGTCAGCTCTGCCAGGCAGAGCCACCCAGTGCCTCCCACAGGGGCTGGTATGGTGCCAGCAACCTCATCTCTGCTGGGTTCCCTTCTTCCCACAGCACATGACCCATATGGAGAAGAAGGTGGTGCACTACTTGCTGCTGAGTGCACCCTGGAGCCTGCTCTGCTACTACGCTGAGGAGCTGCAGCTCCGCATGCCACTGCAGGTGAGACGCTTCGGTGCCGAGATTTGTGGAGGGTGGAGGACAGTGCCCAAGCACTCCCAGGTGTCACACTCTGCGTGACAGGCTGGGTTTGCACGGGGCTCTGGTGGGGTTTGCAGCCTCCCTGCTCTCCAGTGGGCCCAACAGCCCTCAGTCCCCAGACTTGTCCCACAGACAGCTATGTCATTCCACCTCATTCTGCTTATGATCTCCAGAGCCCTATCCCCTCTTTCCATGGCCCCTGAAAGGGAGGTTCCTGGTTTTGGCACAGCCCAGGCACTATTCCTCCTTGGCTTGGCTGCTCTCTTGTTCCTACTCCCTCCTCCTGAGACATTCCCACTGCCCACACAGGCATTACCCAGGCAGACCTCCATCTGGTCTGCCGGCATGCTGCAGCAGCTGGGCATCCCCAACCTGCTGGCCCAGGAGGTTCCTAACCTGCCACCGGACCACTATACCTGCCCCTTCAAGGCCAACAAACTGCACTGGTGAGAACCTCAGAGGGACCATGTTGGGGGTCTCAGCTGGGGGCTGCACCCCTCTGCTGAGCACTGGGCTCCACTGAGCTTCTCCTCCATGCCCTTCTAGGTTCCTGGGAAGTGATGATCAGGACACCTTCTTCTCCATCACTCAGCGTCACCAAATTGTGAGCACCAGAGCTGCTGTGGCTTCTCTTCCCTAGTCCTGGGCAGGTTGTGGGGTCTGAGGGTGCTGTGAGTGGGTGTGTTGCCACATGTTACGTGTTGTCATGAGCTCAAAGGTTCCAGACTGGATCTCTGTGTGCTAATGACTTCAGGGGGCATTAAAAGGCTTGAGGGTGCACCCTTCTCTTGCCTTTGGGAATCAGGCTTGGGAGCTGATCGGCAAGAAGCCACCTGGTGGTGGGGATACCTGGGGGGGGATGGCAGGATCACCCCTCACCTCTCCCGATGTCCCCCTGGCAGCTCTACGAGATCCTGGCCACGACGCAGTACGGACCCTGCAGGGAGCGCGAGGTGGGGCTGGACCAGCTGCTGAGCCAGAACGTCTTCACCGCTGCCTTCCCCCTGCACGAGGCAAGACCCTGCGGGGCCAGGGGAGCCGCTGGTGCCCCTCTGCCAGCCCCTCGCCCACCCCAGGCTCCTCCCACAGGGTCCCTACCGGCTCCACACCGAGCAGACGGGAGCTGGCAGCCAGCGCCAAGTCCTCTTCCAGTACTGGGCCCGCTGGAGGAACTGGAACAAGTATCAGCCTCTGGAGCACGTTCGCAAGTACTTCGGGGAGAAGGTGGCATTCTACTTCGCCTGGCTGGGCGAGTCTGCTCTGCAGCAGTCCTGCCTGCTCCAGGGGCCAGCGGCCTGCTGGTGTGGGGTGAGGGCTGCTGACAGTGGGTAGCTGTTCCTGACTGCCCTGGGATGTGGGTGCTCCTGCCTGCCCTGGGATACTCTGTTTGAAGGTCGGTGAGTGGTGGCACCATGAGCCATGTCCCATGTGTCCCAAAAGGACTAGCTGGAGTCTGACAGGCACTTTGCAGCCCTGGGTCCATGCTCAGGTCCTCCAAACTCTGCATGGTTTTTGGCTGGTGCTGTGCTGGACTGGGGCAGGTGTTGTCCTCAGGGGCTGGAGCTGCTCTGGGCTGGGTGGTCGTGGTGGGGACCTGCCAGGCCTCATGCTTCCCATCCCTGCTGTCTTCAGGCTTCTACACGGGGTGGCTCTTGCCTGCTGCGGTGGTGGGAACGGTGGTGTTTGTCACAGGCATTTTCCTGATGTTCAGTGACGTACCAGCGTAAGTGCTCCACCTCCTCACCTGCTCCTTCCCTAGGGCCATTGGAGGTTGGGGTTGCCTGCACCCCAGTGTGCTGGCACTGCCTACTGGGGCTTGATCACAGCACTTGGTGCAGAACTGCCAGTGAACAGTAGCAGGGAGTGGTGGTAAAGACCAGGTGCTGACGGGTTGCTCTGTCCTTGCCCATAGGCAGGAGATCTGCACAAGCAAAGACCAGTACTGGATGTGCCCGCTCTGCAAGACCTGTCCCTACTGGGAGCTCTCCAAAATCTGCAGCACATTCATGGTGAGATCCTGGAGGACAGCTCCAGGCTGGGGTGGACATCTTCATCCCCACACTAGTCCGTGCCATCCCAGCCCACCTCCCGCCTCAGCCCCTGCTGCTCCAGTGCTCCTTCTCTCACACATCTTCCCATCCCTCCCTCCCCGCAAAAGCTCCCAGGTGGCCCCTTCCACCTTCCCTGCCCACCTGCCTCAGGGCTCAGGGACCCCGAGGACCTGGCACTCACCACACCCCTGTGTGAAGGGCAGCCCTGCCTGCTCTCCTGCCCGTCCCTCAGCTCGGCTCTGCCCGCAGGCAGGACGGCTCTTCGACCACGGTGGGACCATCTTCTTCAGCTTCTTCATGTCCCTGTGGGCAGTGCTGTTCCTGGAGTTCTGGAAGAGGACCAATGCCTCTCTGGCTCACCGCTGGGACTGCTCCGAGTTTGAGGACATTGAGGTATGCTCTGGACGCCTGCAGCACCTCCCAGACCTGCACAGACCAAGGGCATGGGCTGCTCCTGATGCCTCTCCCCCTCCTTCCCAGGAGCGGCCACGGCCCCAATTCGCGGCCATGGCTCCCATGACCACGGTAAACCCTGTAACGGGGGTGGAGGAGCCTTATTTCCCTGAGCGCAGTCGCCTCCAGCGTGTTTTGGCTGCTTCGATGGTCATTATACTCATGGTAAGACTGAGGATCCTGAAGCGACACCTGCCCAGTGTCTGTCCCAGCACAGCAGGGTGTGTGGAATGGGACCAGTTTGGGGAAGGAAGCATGGGTTAAGCTGAGGGTGAACATGGCTGTCCCTGGCCCGTGGTGGAACCCTGCACCCTGCCCTGGCTCAGCTGCTCACCCCGGATCTTCTCTGGGGCTGCCTTGGGTTACCAGGGCAGTTTTCTTTCCCAACACAAGCTGCTCACACCCCATCTGATGTGCATGCAGATTGCCATGGTGGTGATGTTTGTGGTCTCCATGATCCTCTACCGGGCCATGGTCTCCATCCTCCTCTCCAGCTCGAGGCACCCATGGTCTGTGGCTTCGGTAAGAGGTGGCTGCATCCCCTCCTGGACCTGAGCTGTGGCTGGGCTTGCTCCTCACCCTCTGCTCTGCATGGTGCTTCTCCTTGTAGGCATCCCGTATCGCCAGCATCACGGGCTCGGTGGTCAACCTCATCCTCATTGTAGTCATCTCCAAGATCTATATTTCCCTGGCTCACTTCCTCACTAAGTGGGGTAAGCTGGTGTGTGTCCTGCCAGCCAGATGGTGATGGGAAGGAGCAGTCAGGAAGGGCAGAACACCAGACCCAGTGAGCTTGTTGCTGGGATGTAAGCACAAACCCAGTGAGCTTGTTGCTGGGATGTAAGCTCCACCCTCAGCACAGAGGGAAGGCTGGGGACACTCTGGCGGGGATGATGGTGTTATGGAGGAGAGGAGAGCTGGGGAACATTTCTGCGGTGAGAAGGGGTTTGGGTGCACAAAAAGAGAATTGTAGACTTCAGCTTCTGCTTGAGCTTTTTTTGGGGGTTTTGGATGAATATATTCCAGATGACTTTTGAGGTCTGGGGGAGAAAAACCTGTGGGACATGTGTGGTTTATTTAATGAGGCACAAAGCCTGTTTGCATGGAGTGGAGGGCAGGAAGGTTGTGCTGTGGTGTAAAGCAGGTGGGCACACCAGACTGAATGTGGCTGACACCTTCATGGGTCATGCAGCAGGTCGGGTGATGCCAGGCTGATGGGCCTGGTGGCAGTCAAGCCACACTGGATGATGTGGAAATGCATCCTGGAGTGGTGTAGGGCCACATCCTGACACTTCCCTGGCAGAGATGCATCGCACCCAGACCAAATATGAGGATGCCTGCACCTTCAAAGTGTTCGTCTTCCAGTTTGTCACCTTCTACTCCTCTCCTGTTTACATTGCCTTCTTCAAGGGCAAGTAAGGCCTCTGTGGGGAGTGGAGCTCTTCCCCACGCTCTGCAGCCACCAGGGCCTCTGGGCTTCGCAGGGCTGAGGAACAGGGAGTGCTGCCACCATGGGCAAGGAGCACTGTGGTGGGGGGACAGTCTCATCAGAGTGGGAGCCCTCACAGGACCACAGGGTGCCTGGGACTGAGGGCAGTGCAACCTGCTGTGGGCTAAGTGGTTCCAGTTTGGGACAGGGGGACCCTCTCCATCAGAGGCACCTACCACCAGCCCTTTTGTCCCACTTTGGTGAGGGAGAAGAGGGCTCTCTGTGGACAAGGAACAGCCCTTCTTTCCCTGGGGCTGCTCTGGATGCGTCCTTGGGCACAGCACCTGTGGTGTCCACTCACCGCTCTGCTGTGGCTCCCCCAGGTTTGTTGGCTACCCTGGGAACTACCTGAGCTTCCTGGGGGTCCGTAATGAGGAGGTGAGTGCCAGGAGGGAGAAACCCTGTGTTGGCTGTCCCAGCAGGCGTGCCCTGCACGGACACCTCCCCTGCCTGGCTGGTCCTTGCGTGCCAGACCCGACGGGCTGAGGGCCTCACTCTCCCCACAGTGCAGCCCAAGCGGGTGCTTCATGGAGCTGGCACAGGAGCTGCTGGTCATCATGGTGGGGAAGCAGATCATCAACAACATGCAGGAGGCAGCTATCCCGTGAGCACAGCGTGACCCTGAGTCCCACGGCACACCAAGGGGGTGCTGAGCAGCGGGGGACATGGTGACCCTTCTTGTCCCCCCAGGAAGCTGAAGTACTGGTGGCACAAGCACAAGCTGCTCTCAGCCAAGAAGGCAGATGAGGAGGGGGAGTCAGTCCTGATGGAGCAGGCGCCCTGGGTGATGGATCACCAGCTGCTGGCCTTTCAAGGGCTGTTTGACGAGTACCTGGAGATGGGTAGGGACTGGCCTTGGGCTGGGGAGGGCTGAGGTGCTGGGAGAGAGAAAACTGGTGGGGAGAGGTAGGAGCTGCAGGAGTTTCCCTGAGGAAGGGACCAGCCACAGGAGCTTACAATCTGAGCAACCCGTGGGTGCTGGAGGGTGAGGAGTGGTCCCACTGCCCATGGGATTGGGCTGTGAGATGCTGCAGCTGCTACTGTTGTCTAAGCCTGTCCCTCCCCACTCCTTCTCCTCCTCTTCCTCCCAGTCCTGCAGTTTGGCTTCATCACCATCTTCGTGGCAGCCTGTCCCCTGGCACCCCTCTTTGCCCTGCTCAACAACTGGGTGGAGATCCGCCTGGACGCACAGAAGTTCACCTGTGACTACCAGCGGCCCGTGGCCGAGCGGGCGCAGGGCATCGGCATCTGGTTCTCCATCCTGGAGGCCATCGCTCACCTGGCCGTCATCAGCAACGTGCGCTGGGCAGGGCTGGGCAGGACACTGTGGGTGTCGGGGGGCAGCGCGGCCAGGCCAGCACAGTGCCGGGGGTGGCTTTGCCTGTGCAGGAGGTGCAGCTCCAGCCACGGCTGTGGGAAGCTGTCACCCTCCAGTCCAGCTGGGGGACAGAGCAGGACACTGCACGGTGAGCAGGGAGCTGCTGTGCCAGACCAGGGGCAGGGAGAGGTGGAAAGCCACCCAGGGCACGGAGGAGGGTAGGGATGGGGTGTCTCCCCGCTGCAGTCATGTCACATGCAGCACATGTCACTGCTCCAGGCCTTCCTCATCGCCTTCACCTCGGACTTCCTGCCCCGCGTGTACTACGGGTACGCCCGGGACAGCAGCCTGCGCGGCTACGTGAACTTCACCTTGGCGTACGCGCCGCGGGACTTTGCCCTGCAGGGCAACACCACGTGCAGGTGGGTGTCTGTGATGCCTCCTCTGGCTCCCCACCTTCCTTGGGCTTGGATTTGTCTTTCTCTGCCACATTTTGTTTAGCAGAGTGACCCTCAGCCAGGTCCAGGTTGTCCACCCACTTTCCTGAGGTCCTGGGGGCCTTGGCTCATGCCAGGGCTGTGTGCCAATGTGTAAGGTATTGGAGGGGTCACTTGCCACCACAGAGGGAGGCATTTCTGTGAAAAATGAGGTCCCCTGGGGCTGGGCGACCTGCAGAACCTAGGCTGGTTCTGCTGTGCCCCGGTGTGGTGTGCTGGGCGGGGAGCAGGGAATGCCTGCCAGGACGCAGAGCCAGTAACCCCTGCAGTTCGATCCCACAGGTACAGAGCATTCAGGGCCCAGGACGGCAGCCTGACCCCGACATACTGGCAGCTGC